GCAATAACAGATAATTCAAAATAAATTACTGCTTAGTTTGCAAATGCACAAAATGCAGGCATTTCAACACAGTAAAATTCTGTCAACATTCACAAATGCTTCTGAATAATGAAGAATACTTATTATAAAGTTAAATAAGGAAATATGATTTAAAAAGCCATACAGAAGAAAAGAAATAGGATATTTTCAAAATCAAATTAGATCCACATCAGAAACCACAGTCAAATGTATTTAAAAGTTATAAAACAAATATGCATCATAATGGTGATTTGAAGTTGGATACTTCATACACAAATTAGCAATGCAAGAATTGAAAGATGGTAACAAAAGTCATAGAAACAAAGGAAAATGTATAAAAAATACTAAATGCTTTTTTCTTCCCCTAAATATTAATAATATCAAATCTATTTTAAGAGTAAATATAATAAAATGTTAGCTGTGGTGTGACATTACAGATCAAATTTTAAAACACATTATCTTTGATATTGCTAATTGTATTAGAATCCATTATATCTACTTATTGATACAATTAGTTTTGAGAAAAATTTATTATTTGTTTCATAAATTACTCTATTTTAAGATCTTGATTTTCACTAATACAAAAAAGTTTAGGTCCTTTTACAATAATTTTATGCCTGACAGCTGTATTTGTAATACCTTGGCCATCTAGAAATATGAGAAACCTGGATAATCAAATACTTATTGTTTCATTTGAAATGGTCAAATGGACATTTACTTTGCAAATATGCTGCAGATCTTATGAAGGGAGGAACAGTAAATATGCTCATATCACAAGATAAGACATAAATTTTGGCTCTTTTGGAAGTTTGCAATTGAAACCCAATCTATACAGGTTTTTTGGTACATTACAGTTGATACAGTGAGATTTAAAACAACAACAGCAAAAAATAAACAAAAACCTCATGGAAACCACATAAGATAGCATAACATCAGTTCTAACTTTCGGGAAATATTCTGTACTGTATGAACAATGAAGGCTATAAAATTAGTTGACACTGTGACAACAAATCACATTAAAATTCCTGAAAACCCTTAAATACAAAGATACATTGACTTCACTTCCTTACAGACCCACTGTGGTGCATATGCTAAGGTATATCAAAGTGATATCTTCGGAACGAGGCCCTACTAAGAAAGAAATACTGCAGCCCTGGAAAAAGGATATGGATGATAGGAAACAAAAGAAAGTTGACAGACAGAGAAGAGAGGATCCCATGTAATTTGTTGCTACAATTCTTTTCAGTTATTTGCCTAAATTTCCACTTCCTTTGCCACCCTTTACTTTGTCCACTCCAAACCCTCCATGTCTTCCTCTACATCTACCTCTTCCAATGTGCACCCCCAACCTCACACACATAAATCCTTAAGTCATGAAAATGGTAAATTCAAGATACAATATGAAAAATATTCTGGAAATACAATGTTTAAAAAGAAAGTCAAGCTTCCTGCCCTCATGGAGCTTACATTCTACTAGGAAAAATTAACATTAAATATATAATCACTCATATAAATATGTAATTACAATTAAAATGACTGCTATAAAGGAAAATACAAGTCTCCAATCAAAGCACCAATATAAATTCATTATTAACATTAATTATTAATAGCTCCTGAGCTATTAACCAGCCACGATGGCTGGATTTGCAGTGTAACTTACTTTTTTGGCATTTTGATTGAAATGGTCATTCATTTCTCTCAGACAACCATTAACATATGAGTAAATAATTACTGAAATGAAACAATCAGTTAAACAATTATGGAAAAAATAAAAACAGAAACAAAAAAAAAACTCAATTCCCAGGCAAATAAACAAACCTAAATTCTAAGGAGAATAAATTCTATGGAGAATAAAGTTAGCATTGTCAATGGTCCTAAGAATACTAATGGCAAATTTCAAGCTTAAAAAAGAAAGCAAACACAATTTTCACAAAACCTATTTGGATCCATCTAACCACAACTAGCAGAAGCAAGGTTGGCTCTAGATAACACCTCTCTTCAGCTATCCCAAAGAAAGCTATGTTTCATTGAAACCAAGTTTATTCCTAACTGCATCCAGTTAAAGGTGTATTTGAAAACAAATACAAATAATTAACTCTAAAGTTTGAAGTAGAATGACCAATTGAAAATATGAGGCAAGATGGCCTATGGGAAGCGTGAGAAAGCTTCCATTTCATTCATTATGATTCTGCCAGCACATAGCAATGATCCTTAACACGTCTCCTTAACATGGCTTAGCTGTTCTTGTCATGTACACATCATAAGGGATTCTGCAGTTTCTAAACCCTGAAAAATTAATTAGGGAGTATGAAAGGATCCACACCAATTATGTAAGGATACATCACAAAGTGGTATCAGTGCTTACCTCTAGGGAGAAGACTGAGGAGGATGAAGAAGGTTAACAGGAGTAACCTTCTCTTTAGATGAGGTTTTTTTGTGTGTTTTGTTTGTTTGTTTGTTTGTTTTTAAGAAATAGCATTCATCTATCACTGGGCATTTAAAAATTTAGAAAATATTTTAAAATCCATACAGAAGAAATCAAAATGATAATGTTCTTGAATCCAGTTTTGCCTCTGGACTCAAAAAAAAAAAAAGAAAGAAAGAAAGAAAGAAAGACATTAATGCACATGTTCATTCCAGAGTCCCTGAAGTCACTACTGCTAAAGAAGGCAACGGTGTCAAGAAAAATGCTCCAGGATTATACTGTGATGAAAAGATTTGGGAAGCATTAATTTACAATGTAAATAAATTATTTCAGAGTGGACAGGTTTAACACCTATTTTATGCACAACGAGGATTTAACTTGATATTGAAGCTACAGTGGAAAGTTTCTAGGTATTTTTTGATTCCTTCGACATGTGGCACAGGACAAGGAGAGCTACCTAAGGGAAGCCCCTGATTCATGTTATCTTTATCTTTTCTGAATGTTAATCACAGTTTGTTTTTTTTTTACCATTTTCAGCACTTCCATTCTGTCATTTATACTAACTTATCCACATGTTTTCATTTCCCTAATAAACTGAAACTCTTCGAATGTGCATACCATGTCATAGTCAAGATTGTATTTTTGCTCTAGAATGCAGATTTGTTGAACTGATGTACAATTAAAGAAGACTTACAAATCATGTTTCTCATTTCTATACATCTAATTAACCAACATGTAAAGGTTACCATTCTGATTTGCAAAATATTCAAATCTATCTTAAAATCTTCTTTTGCCATTTAACAACAAAAATCATCCTGGTTCCATTAACAGAAGAAAAATGTAAAGGAACAACCAAATTCCTGCACTCTGTAGTTTTGTGCTGACTGAGGAATAAACTTCAATGAAAACTGGTGAAGTAAAATATGTTTGACACACATGCCAACAGAAAACATTTAAGACTGACATAATAAAACTGAATGAAGTTAAGTGACACTTAGCATTAATTACATCAAAACAAATATCAGCTGAGTATAAACATGAATTATTGTGTATGTAGAGTTAAATGGTTATAGAATTAAAAGATTATTTTTGAGTTACTTTTTTACAACATAACGTATATGTGTATGTATATTTAGGAAGTTTGTGTATATACATGCATTCATACATACACAAACACATATGCATATAGGTCACTCAGCCAGTAAAATAAAATATAAATACAGTTCCCTCTATGACATCCTGAATCCTCTAAGAAGGAACATGGTAGGAAATGCCCACTGAGAAAGGGAAGTAGATGAGAATTCGACATAAAAAGTTTAGAAAACCTCCCAAATGGTACATGAAATCTCTAAAACAATTGATAAATACTGCCATTTGTGTAGTTGCTAGAAGGCTTAAAACAATATTAAATTATAATATTGGAAATGGTTGACCAAAACACAAACTGCAATAGTATATGTTCTCTTTTTATTGGCTCAAAATACCCAAGCAACATTTGTTTCTAAAGCTCAATTTTACACATTTAAAACTGATATCATTTCTTACTTATTGGCTGGCTCGTATTCAGGTGCTTTTTCAAGCAGAAAAGTTTCCCTGCTAGATGACACAAACGTAAAGGTGAAGAACTGTGAACTTTTGTCCTAATTCAGATTTAGACTCAGAGCACAAGAAAATTCAGAGAATTTAAGGATAAGAAACATTCCTGCATTAAAAATAAAAACAAAACCCATGAAAACCAAAAACAAAACAAAAACAAAAACTAGAGACCAAGGGCACATTCAGTAATACATAGTTAAAAATGGTTAATTTAAAGGCTATGATACATATTTACCACATCTACATATCATCCACTTCCTGTTAATGAAAACACTAAACACAATGTGGATGACTCTAAATGGCAAATTAAGCATGCTTTTAAATCTAGCATCAATGCTGTCAAGGAGTACACATGCCTGACTTACCAAGTGATGCAGAAATGTACACCTGGTCGATAACGTTCTTAAAACAAAGTTAGTATGTGCAAAAGAAAGAACAGGCTTGTCTTGTTTCTTTGTCTCTTTCACAGTACTGCCTTTTCAAGTTATTGTCGAATTAATGTGTATATAGACATCTAGCAGGCAACAAGGTGATGAGCGCACCACAGTACCATTTCAATGCTGCACATGCTTAGACATCCCAATGCAAAATGGCTGGGGCAGGTGTGCTCCCGAGTTAAATGTTTGAGGATGACATATTTATGGTGACTACACTCATCATTTAACTACCATTAAATGATACTGCAAAAAAAAAAATGATCCTGAAACCTGTAGCTAATTTCTAAATATACTAATTATATAAGCAGCCGACGTGGAAAAAAATCACCCTAAAGAGCAAGAAAAAAAAGAGTGAAACATTTTGATGGATTTTTCTTACCTTCAATTAATAAAATATTCATTAACACTCATACCTACCTCCCAGTGCCCATTACTAATGCAAAAAGGTCTAAATACATTTTCATAATGTATATACACCGTAATTCATACAGATGATATTAAGAAGAAATAAAATAATGTAATACCTTTACTTTTACCTATGGATTTGATGAAATGGTTCCATGAAGAAAGGATTTCCATACAAAGAGAATAAAAAGAGAAACAACAATAAGAATTATGAATATATGTAAAGGCACCATCTTTGAAAATTAAACAAGACAAGAAAGTATAAATAAGGGTTTGAAAACACATGGAGATATAATCAGCACATGTTGAGAAATCTGCCTTCTTTTTTAAGGCAACATGCAAAAGAATTGAAACACCCATGCTCACTTTAAAAGATTACACAAAAAAGAAGATACACAATGACTGTAGCATACGTAGAAAAAGTATTGATTCTGTGAAACACTATACTCAGCATTCTAGAAGCCAGAAGCCAAAGATGTCTGCATGTTCCCAAACTGCCATGCATGGGTGAAAAATGGACTCTTTTTGGTACAGTACATTAAACTGAATATGATATTAACTTCCGATGGTTCTCGGTTTTTCTTTACTATAGCGACCCTTAACTGCATATGCTTATAAATGTATGGAAACTTTCAATCACAAATTCTTATGTCTCATTTATCTGCAGATATTATAGTGCAAAGAATGAAGGAAAATAAAAGTCAAAGGAGCAAACCAAAATCAAACCAACAAATAAAGGGGAGAAAAACATGAAAAAATGTGAACAAAATTATATATTATTTTGCAGCCAGATAATTTGCAAGCATTTGCCCATCCTTTGCAGTGATGGTTTAAAGCAGCTACAGAACAAGAAAACACTGAAAGCAGAGTGGAAAAGGAACAGAGCCCATACCTTGGTCGCCCATCATCAGGTGCGCCAGACCTTGAAGGGAAACAAGAGCACAGTCAGCAATAAACAAGGGAGCATGGGAAGGCAGGGTTGTCACGGTGACAAAAATGTTCAGTGACAGACATCTTGCTTCCTATGAGACATGTCTGTATCACAGAGGCAAAACAAAAAGCATTCTTTCAACCCCTGGTTGGAATGCTTTGGGGCAAAGAGTTACAGTACTGCAATTTAAACACTGGCATATGCTGCCCTGTGTATTTCTTCGATGTATCAGTTGGAACCATCAAGAGCATAAAAGCATGACTTAAAATCCAACCAATCCCTTAAATATTGCATCTGCCCTTTGTGCCCTTTGATGAGACTGTTTGGAACACTGCCACCACAGGGCTTCTTATTCTTTGGTGATGAAATTATATTTTTAAAAACCCAAAGAAATATCTGAAACATGGGCTGGGTCTGATCTTTTTCCCCTCATCAAAAAATGAGAAGTTTTATAATTAAATTAAAAAAAATTCCTTAGTCACACTGAAATGATAATGCAGAAATGTCTCCTTGTCTGACACATGTAGCAATTGACTAAGCTTGTTCAAATACAAAAAAGACTATTAAACATGCAGCTGTAAAGTTGGAATTTACTACACAATGATGTTTTTAGGAAACAATGGATCAGCTTTAAATAAGCTTAAGTAATTTTCCATGGAGAACAAAACTATTTAGTCTTTTACTTAAACATTATCTAAATACTAAACTATGAGTTAATGTGAATATATATTTAATCATGTTTTATATTTTTATATAAATCATAATTTCATCAAGGAAGTTTTCAAAAATAATACTGAATTCCCTTTACTTAAATTATTTATTATCTGTTACTTGACAGTTTACTTCAGTTTGAAGATCACTCCTTTTCTAAAGAATACTGCTAATGTTCTTTTAAAAAACTCTCTCACTACCTCACTTTTTACCGAGAGGCATTAATTCCTAGTTCTTTATTTCATATTCGGAAACAAAGCTACTCCTCAATCCATGTCTATTTCAAGAATATGGGAAAATACTGGAGCGATATAGTAATACATACAGCAATTTCAATAGAATTTATATTTCACTCCCTAGTGTTATTTCAAATATATTTGAGACTTTATTGAGCTACATGATATTATACACCATTTACATCAATACTGAAATCAATTTGCATTATTTCCTTAAAATTTTAGGAGTATTTAAACATCCCTATGCAGCAGATACAATTACAAATCAACATATAATCAAAATATGAAAACTACTGAATATAGAAGTTTAATGTTTCTGTGATATAGCTTTTTTTTGTATTTTCAAAGTGATTGTAACAAAAAAATCACAGAGGCAGTTAAAAAAGTTTATGATCTGTTGGTTATTCTGTGTAGGTTATATAATTTTTCATCCAATTGCATTTTAAAACTACTATACATATTTCCTGAAAATAGTTTATAATTTTTGTAGACTAAATCAGGGCATGATGTCTGCATAAGATCTAACTTTTAGAAAATACATAAGACACTTCAAATAGTGGTTTTGAATACCACCTCAGTAAGGATGGAAGTTAATAAATCTCAAAAGCATTCACATTCCTCATGCTAGACTTTCTTACCTCTAAGGGAGCTCCACTATATTGCCAAAGTCAAGTTATAAATAGGAATGTTACAATTATGATTGAATAAACTTTATTACAATAGTTTATGGGCCTATACTCTGAAAATGTTGTCAAAATTTTTCATGGGATGCATGTGTGAGGAAAGAGGCATTCAGGCTTATTAGGCTGATTTTAAAGCTCCTGGAATGCAACTGGATTTAAAGAGAAAGAACAAAAACATGGAACATTTTACAGAATGGTTAAGGAAATGGAAAAGAAGTTGAAAAGATACTTATTAAAAAAAATTCAATCTCAATTAACATGCATAATATAAATGATACTGATTTTGAAAGATGTCAGACCCTCAGGGTAATATCATCTTTATCAAGTGCATATTCACATGCTATTAAAATTATAGTATAGAAAAACAGAAGCCATATACAGAGCCAACATTTGGAAAAATAGTCATTGATGATTACTTTTGAAATCTTAATCTATTCTACTTAAATAATGGAATAGAAATGTTCAGCAACTAAGCAACTAATGTTCAGCGTGTTATTTGTGAAAGTATCACAAATAATATGCTGAAGGCTGCTATTGACCCAACTTTGTATTACCATGAGTTGCTCTTTGAGACATCAAATCTTAGTAACTTTAATAGCTATCTGTAACCTCAGTGGGAAGTCTTTTTCTAAGACACATCATTCTGTAGAAATGTTCATTATTTTTACAGAATGGCTCTATTTTAAAACAGTGCAGCAAAATAAAATACGTTAAAATTATGTTAAAATATGTTAAAATAAAAATGTTAAACACTTCTCAAATATAGACATTAGTTAAATGTTTATGCAAGAATTGTTAATGCTGTGATTATATAAGTTGATGGAGCATCAACTTCCCTCTCACAATTCTTTGGTCTATCTAGAGATAGACTTGTTTGGCAGCACACTGACTTATACATTTAAGTTCCTTAAAGATAAGAATATTGAAATATGCTTTAGTTTGTTGGATTCTATAGGAAAAATGTGTAACTTTCTCAAAGTGGCTTGACAGATAATTTTGAAAAAAACTCTAATAAGTATAATAGTTTTATTTAACAGACACATAATATGACAAATATACTTACCAGTAATTACGCTGGAGTGCTGTACACTTTCATTTCCAATGGCCAGTGGCTTATTTTTTAATCTAAATTTATGCCTCTTATAGTCAATGCTTTATTCTGTGTTCTTTATGTAAGTCAAATCATTTGAAATTAAACTAATGAGCTTGAGGTGATGTAATGCTAAACATTTCCAAAAGAAAATAAATCATTTTGATCAAGAAAAAAAAATGGAAAAAAGATCATGCACTGTGTTCTGAAACTGCAAAGAAATACTTTCTCATTTAAAATAAAAGAAGCAGGATTGTATCATTTTTTCCATACAGAACACTGCAATAAGTATTTTAAGTTTTACATGGGATGCTGGAATCCATCGAGGACTGGAGTTAAGGCTGAAGGAGTTTCATGTACTTAGGGGCTAATGGGGTTGAGAGTGCATGTTCTATTATGAAAAGTGATACACAATCCAGAAATCAACAAATGCTCAGTTCAACTTACCGTCTAAATTTGAGATGTACTCTATTAATACTAAGAAATAAAAGGCAAATGAGAGTTGGAAAATAAAGTTGAAAGCACCCACCTTCCACATTGTTGTCTTCTGAAAGCACATGACAAGGAGGGAGAGAAAAGGAAAAACATTCATTAAGCAGCATGCAGACTGGACCTTTGCCTTTGCATGTCTTCCTCATGCAAGGCACCAAACACATCATGCAAGTGCTCCATCACTACCGTTCAAAGGGGAAAACAAAATGATGGGAAGCAGGTTCCCGCCTACTGGCAGCATTTAAAGAATGTGAGACAAAATTTTGGTAATACTGCCATGTCCTGAGCAAGGAAATGTAAAAAGTCTTTCACTGTCCTGTGTAAAATAAACATTCTTACATGATGTGGCTTTCCTAGGCAACTATTTTTAAAGCCTTATTTCTTTATTTATCTATTTACAATTCCAAAAAATTCTATTTCTAAACACTGATTTGGACTTGGATAAGATAAAGTTCATTGCCAGGAGCCATGAAATTTCAATTAAAAGATACTTCACTTGTACAAAATATGTAATCCATTTACCATCATGGCCTTTAAGTATTCCTAATACTTCAATTTCTTTCCTTAAACACCACATAAACCTATGTAACTGAAATTTATAATATGGCTTATTTATAGTATGTTCATATTTCATTGCAAATAATGGTAGTTTATTGTAATTTGTTAAAAAGGCTAATTTTCAAAACTGTTAACTAGAAAAAGTAATCCTTGCAAGGGAAGTCCATTTGGGAGCTGTTCTTTAGGCAAAATTTATCATGATTTATTGACTCTGTACTTCTGTTTAGGGTGGGAATTTGAATATAGTTAACATAGGACAATACTTGGTAAACCTTCCTTTATGTTTCCATATAACCTACATAATATTTACATATTTTCATATATTTGTGTGTATTTCCATATGTGCACATATATACGTATATATATACAAACACACACACATAATCAAGCAGATTTTGCATGTATTTCCTACACATAAACAATGCAAGTGTATGGGATTTAAACTATTTTTAAGTAACTACTAGACAATTCATGTACTATTGATACACAGGGCTTAGCATCCAGGTAAGAAATGGAAGAGACAGCTGTTTTCCAGGACTAGACAACAGCAAGGTTTCAGTACTTATCAAATGTTTCCAATAATAAAACAGAGCCATGTTGACATTTCTAGTCCCATTCTTTTATTTAATCAGTTGTAATTTTAAAAGTGGTTATTTGATCAAAAGCGTTTATAAAGAACAAAACAACAGCAAGTGTGGGAACTTGGAGAAAAACAACTTATAAATGTGCCCTGTAATAAGGTTCAACAAATAACCCTTTCTAATTGTTAAAGTTACTAATGAATTAAAAATCATCAATTTTGTTTAAAATCTATTAGCTGGAAACTGAAATATCAACATAGGCACATTTATTGATGGGGTCCTAACATTTAACAGAAAATAGTAGATAAATGTGGACAATAGCATCTGGACAAAATACTTGGTTTGCCAGAGTTTATTTTAAAAGATATAACAACAAAAAAAGACAAATATTTGATATGTGATATTCATTTCCTGATTGGTTTGGTTTCTAATCTGCTAAATAAGGAATTAAGACTGAATTTGCTACTTTTCAATGGCTACTGTGACATGACATGGACACAAATATTAAAGATTTATTTTACTACACTGGAAATTACACAAAGATACAGATCATTTCAATGTTTAAGACACACTTTCATTTTATGTTAACCACCCTTTGAAATTCTATTCCCCATTTAAGATACTTGCTTAAAAAAATAAAATTGTTTAATACATAGGAGAGAACAACAAAATCAGGGAGTTCAGAGGAGAGACAACTGTCAAAATAGTCTATCATTTACTATGGCTCTAAATTTCTGTAAACAAAGACTGGCAAACATGATTGTGAGTAGCACAGTCTCAGGAAAATGGTTTTTTGGTGAAGTGCTGCATGAAAATCTAACAGTAAACGAAAAATGAAAAACAAAGTAAAACAGGCCCAGGCTCGACACCAATTTTATAAATGTGCTAAATAAGATAAGGAAAGGAAGTTGTGCTATAATAAAATCAAGGTCATTGACTCTGATCCCCTGAGAGTTTTCTTCTTTCTCTGTTAACTAAGACACAAGGCCACAGGCAGCACCATTGATCTTGCCCTGCCATCCAGCATGTTTCTGAGTTTTTATTCAGAGAGAACCGGCTAACTAAAGGGACCCTTTGTATGTAAATCCAAGTCATGCCCAATATGTAAACAAATCCTGACTTGACCAAGTTCAGAAAAATGGGCTGTCTCAGAAGATTTAGATTAAAAAATAATAATCAGGAGTGTTTGCCGGGCTCAGTCGGTAGAGTGTGAGACTCTTAACCTCAGGCTTGTGAGGAGTTCAAGCCCCATGGTGGGCATGAGCCTACTTAAACAAATTTAAAAATTAAAAATAATTTAATAAAGTACTAGAATAAAAGGAAGGGTAATATATTAACTTCCATATTTTAAAAAAATAGAATAAAAAAAGAAACTGGCTTGGAACAGACTTTATTGACTTTCCATATATTTTTAGACTCAATCTTAGAGTTAAAAAAAAAACCTCTTTACTTGTATCATTCTCTTCTACCCCTTTGGTATCCATTTGTTTGCTTTAGTTCATTTAAAATCTGTTAACCTAGGGGCACCTGGGTGGCTCAGTCAGTTAAGCATCTGATTCAGTTTTGGTTCAGGTCATGATCTCAGGGTCCTAGGATCAAGCCCCACATCTGCATTTAGCAGGGAGTCTGGATTCAGAGATTCTGGAGATTATCACTCTCCCTCTGCCCCTACCCCTCAGAGATTCTGGAGATTATCACTCTCCCTCTGCCCCTTCCCCCACTCATTCACTTGCATGCTCTCTCTCTAAAAAAAATAAATTTGAAAAAAAATTTAAAAATCTGGTTAACCTAAAGATGATCCCTACATTATTGCATATTTTGCACGTTAAGTATAAATAGCAGGGAGTGTGCTGGAGATTCTCTCTCCCCCTCTCCCTCTAACCCTCCCCTCACTTGCTCGCTCACACACTCTCTCTCTCTCTAAAAAAATAAATTTGAGAACAATTTTTTAAAATTTGGTTAACCTAAAGATGATCCCTACATTACTTCATAATTTGGACATAATTATAAATGGTAGTAGCGCTATAATTTATAATCATTCTCCAGGTGTTTTTTTGTTTCTCTTTCCTTTCTACTTGGTTTTTGAAATAAAAGAATATTGAGTTTAAAAAGAACAGTTTTCCTCATAACATCAACTTTTGCTTTCTCTTTGCAGATCTTTTGCAATCAAATAGTATTTTGATTTTTAATAGCAACAGAGAGGGGGTAAAATTTGGCATGCCAGAGTGTAAAGGTAAAACAGTATATTTTGCTTTAGTGTAAGGTAAAAAGCAGTCCATCCAGCCTTACCTGTGGACATTGTCAAGTTAGGGAAAAGCTCTCAGTTTGCAGAAAACCCTGGCTTCTTAATTCTGCTGACTAATCCTGCTTTGTACATGAAGTGAGTCTTAGTAAGCAACTTTACTATGATGACCATGCCACCTATAAAGATCACACTCATTTTTTTTTCATTGTGAAAATAAGGTATAAGAGCAAGAAAAAGATACCTTAAATTTTCTTTTTCTTTCAGATAAGACATGTTTCCCTCACAAAAATGAGAATAGGCACCAGAACATCAGTCATGTTATGAATAATTTGTGTGCTGTTGACATGAAGGGAAGCTGCACACTGTTAAACCATATATTCTTGAATTACTTTAAAAGAGCATCTCCACAAAAAAATTTTCCTTTGACCCCCCCAGCTTATAAGAATTCAAGGACAGTAAGTTTAATTTATCATGAGTGTTCTTTGCATATAATTTTAATTACATACTTCTAGGAAAAGAAAAATGAGTAAGGAAACAAATGCATTTGCTTCAATATAAAGCAAATCAGGAATTTAATCATGACCAGTGGATAAATTAAAGTGTTATATAAAATATCACAGGTAACTCCTTTTTGAATAATCAACGTTTAAGTTTAGCAATATTAAAGCCTTCACCTAAACCTGCAAGCAAGAGTAAACACACGTGCTTCATTTTATGTTCAAAATTGAGTGAAAGTAATCTGTCACCACTTGGCCGTTCCTTCTCTCTTTTGGCTTCCTTCCTTCTCTGCTAGTTGCTTGTGACCAGCAACTTTTTCTTTGGCTCCCTCTCTCCTTCATCAAAACTGCCTCTCCTGCAGGTGACTTCACACCCAGATCTATGCATTCCAAAGTGGGGTACATAGTAACGAAACTGGTGGCGGTACAGGCCAGCAGAAGGAGGAATACAGAGGAAGATTTTATTTCCTTCTTACATACATTGAGCTTGCTGCCTTCTATCCTCGCCTTTCCAGCCCCTCACATTATTTTCAAGACTTTATCCCTCATTTGGAGGGTTAAATGCCAGTAGAGCAGAGTCTGGTTCCCATGGTGGCATAAGATGGAGCTTTGCTTTATTTTATTTTTCCTTTGGTGTTAACAGTGAAAGCCTTTAGAAAGCCTCAATCATCTGGGAATGCTTCAAGAACTGGGAAATGGAGGAAAGCATTGAAACTGTGGATTTGTGCAACATGTCAGCTGGAGGAAGAGAAATGCTGGCCAGAATCAAGAGAAAGTTCAAACAGTAAATGAAGCAAAAAGGTCCATTATGGAGGCTTATGGAAGGAAAGAAACAGCCGGGGCAGGAATGGCTAGTTCCAAAAAAAAAAAAAAAAAATTTAACAGGTGCCCTCAGCCACTTGTTTTAAATCTACTTAAATAGCATCCCCACCCAGCTTGCTGGAATCCCAGTCTTAGGGCATGAGGGGAACCAACTAGAATAGCTAATACTTTTTTTCCCTCTCTTCACTGTTCAGGAGTAAAAGAAGGGGTATCTCTAAACCAACGTGCAGCAGCAAGGACATTCCTGGCATCACGCTTGGAACTATAAAAACATTTTCCCTAGCAACATTCTGAGCAACATCCAATTATACTGTTGGTAAAAAACTATGATTCAAGTATATTATGGAATTAA